TAGCTAATGAAACCCCTTTTAACAACTCGTTTGTGCATTTTAAGAACCTGACGTGGGACCTTGAAACGATTCAGACTTGAGGTTGACTGAAGACTTTTTATTGGAATTCTTTTGTTTCTGATATTGATTAGAGAAAAATATGGCTCATCCCAAATAGCTACTTAATTACACTGTTAGACATTTCAAAGGGTTTTTACAGTAACTTACTGGCAACACTGTTGCCAGTAAGTTACTGTATTTTAGATTTACAGTATACAACTGTAAATCCGTTTACAGCATGTTACTGTAGTGTCTGAAAATGGTTAACTACTGTAAAAACCTAAGTTAACAGTTAGCTACTTTTAATTTAAACCTTTTAATTTTGTCCTAAATATTTTATAATATTATTTTATTAATATTATTTTAATACTATAGACCTAAAAAAGACACAATTACAAAATATTAACAAAATAAACACTCTTTATTTAAAACATTGGAGATGCTTAAAACAAGCTTAAAAATGTGTAAAAACATTACATTTCAATCATTCAAAATATTTTATTTTAAGAAAAAAAACATTGAAAATGAAAAAGCACATTAACATACATGTACAAATCTAATTTAAGTGTCTGACCTGCATATTGTTGAGAAAAAAAACCCCAATTGTACTAAGTACTACTGACATTAAACCAGACACAATTACAAAATATTCCATTCTTTAAAACATTAATAATGCTTAAAGCATTTAAGGAAAATGTGTGACAATTACATTAAGCAATAAAATCAACACATTAAAAATAAATAAATCACACAAAGCACTAGAACATACATGTACAATAAAAATTTAAACTTCTGAATTGCATATTGTTGGAAAAATAAATATTTGTAACTATTAGCCGACTCAGAAACAACACAACTTTAAAATATTACTAATTCTGGTGTCAAATGCTCAACAAGGTCTGAATTCACATATTCAAATGCAGTTCATCTTTATTTCTATTGCACTTTTACAATGTAGATCAATGATGTCAAAGCAGCTTAACATAGAAGTTCTTGTAAATTGAAGCTGCTTCAGTCCAGTTTTCAGAATTGAAGCAGTAAATGTCACTGCTGAAAGTCCAAACACTGAAGAGCAAATCCACCGATCCACCAATCGTAGCCAAGCGATCCAGTGGCGACAGTGGCATGGAAGAAACTTCACCAACTGACGAAAGTGTAGAATAAAAGCCCTTGAGAGATACCAGGCTCAGTTGGGCACGACCAGTTCTCCTCTAGCCAAACTTGTGCAAGGCCGCAGTCTAGGCACCGGAGGCTTGAAAGTTCACCAGTGGGTGGTCAGGCTGGCCCATTGGATCAATGCGGAAACTCATTGATCACGTGTGTCTTTTAGGATTCACTCCTCCATGACCACCACAGCATCTGGTCAGGATTTGGCCCAGTCCAGGATTATGAAGAACTCTGGATAAGGACAAACAGACTAACATAAGCATAGAAGAAGCTTGTATAAAAAAAAATAAATCATATACTGGTTAATTATTTTGAAGCATGGCAGCTAGGTTGGGCTAGTTTTCAGCTGGTACTGAGCAACTGGCTCCTGCTCATAACCTGCTCACTACCATGTTTAAAAGAGAACTAACCAGAATGTCCTGTTTATTTTTTCCCCTAACAAGGTTTTACAAAAACATTGTAGCATTTGTGATGGGTTGATTCACAGCAGGACAGATTAGACTATTTGTTTTATGTATTCCTAATAAACTAAAACAGACTGAATACTGATACAACTATTGAGAGTGTCTCACCTAATCCAAGTTCTCAGTTAGCTGGTGAAAGAAGGATAACACTGTTGTTCATGGTTGTCATTCACTACTTCTCCTGCCTTCTTCTGGCTCACTCTGGTTGTTGCTGTGCATTTTGTTTCATCCTCTGGAATTATTTATACAAAAATTTTTATTATTTTATTTAATATAATAATATTTATTATTTAATATTACAAAATATTTAGGCAACATGAAATGGGGAAAAAGACATTTAATACATAGACAAATGCATGTATCCCAATACTAATTATTGTATTTTAAAATGTCTGACCCATGACAGACCTCAATCTGCTCAAAAATATTATAAACAAAGATGAAAAAAAACCCTACTAAATGGTTTAATAAAAAAGGGAAAAAGATTTTTTATTTAGCTAGCAACTAAACATGTGACACATTTTGTATTAAAAGTAATGTTACTATATTGAGAAACAAATAGATGTACAGTACTTACTGTTGTATGAGGTCCAGTTTGCACAGGCAGGCTCCCAGTATTCTATATTGAGACCATAAAAAAGCCAAAAATACAGATAAGAATACCATGCTACAATCCACAACCTCCACACAACTTTTTTTTTATTTGTTTACCTTGGTTGCTTACTGGTCTTGCTTATTTTTTAAGCATAAGGCTGTGCTGATCAAGATGTTCCTCCGAAATGCTGTTTGTTTCTTCAGACAAAACCTGGTGCTGTGCTCGTGCCATATCTAAACAGAAAAAAATATAATGGTAACAATTATGTTAAACCAAATGTCAAGAGTTGTGATAAAAAAATAATTAGCAAACAATAAATAGCAAAAAGGTGGTTATTAGCATAATGCATAGAGGTAAAGTTGGTTTTATATTAGCAGATTCAGACTTCCCCCTTAATAATTTAATTTCATAAAAGTATTATTTGCAAACTCTAAATAGTGAAATCATTTTAGCAGCTAACGACTATCAAAGTACAACATGCTCACGGTCAAATAAACAGTGTTAATGTTGATTTCAAGTCATACTGGCATGCTAATTCTGATCGAATATTCAAAGTAACATGGTAAACAGTATAACGTAAGAGTCTTCTAAATGAACGAATGTGCGAATATAAAACCAACTTTACCTCTATGCATATTGTAGATTTACGTTAACGTTCTTATAGGTTACGTCGCGATGTTATTTTCTCAAGCTAACGATATAAGTTACTCTAAACCAGAGAAAAATAAGTTCACAACATCTAATATATATAAAGTATAAATCAATATAAGTTAAACGTTGCACGTTAAAATGAGTTTGAGTCCAATTCAGTATAAACTTAGCTCAGTTTAGCTAACAGTTAACATTACCATTTTAAGATCGCTTCAGCCAATGTTGCCGAGCAAACATATGCTAATAGAGGTGCTCAAATCAATGTCGAGTGTTGTCAGCACAGACAGACGCGCTTTTACCTGGATTATTTGATGGTCTTTCATTCATATTCTTCTGGGGGAAAACACTCTCTGCCGGACCGTTGTCTCGTGATAAGTGTCCTCCAAAACTGTCTGCATACCTCTGGTTCCCTCCTAAACCAAAACCCGCTGCAACACCGGTTCCTATGTAAATAAATAAAAAGATATGACGAGAACAATGGCTAATAGTCATAAACAGTCTTATTTAAAGTAATAGTAGTGTTAATGTAATAAATTAAATAAAGGTAACATCTTAATAGATGATATATTTCTCAAATGGGCGAAATAACGCCAAGCCAGAGAAAATAATAATAGCCAACTTTATACTTTACTTTGTTCTATTCTCGTCCACAAAACATTCTGTAAAATGAAACACTGCCTCAGCTTACCAGAGTAAAGTTTGTTAAATCCAGTATGTTCTTCAGGCACACTAATAAATTGTCCTCCAGAATTGCTCCAGGGTCCTCAGGCAAAATGTGGTGCAGAGTAGTCGAATCGCCGCAAGGTGGCGTTGAAGCAGTTGTGGAAAATACAGTATAATACACGAATTTTTACAAATACAGTACATCGCTGTATATGTTGTTCGACGTCACACTAAATTCCCATAATGCAACGGTAAATACAGTTATTTACCGTAAAAGGAATTTGCAGTATTACACTGGGTGAAATACAGTAATTAACTGTGTAATTTACAGAAATGTCTAACAGTGTACAAATAAGATAAAAGAAGTTTCATTTAGAATTATTCATAGTACATACCCAGTGAATACACTATAAAAACATATATTTTTGTAAGCAAAAGTTCATTTTGTAAGCATCACCCAGAGTCCCTAGTTCACTTATTTTTTTTTTAGAAATGCAGTTAATCTAATTACCTTTGGAAAGATTTTTCTCTTTTTGTAACTAAGAAAGTTAATAAAGGCTTTTCCTTACAATGGGAAAATGTTTTATTTGGTTTTGTTAATTATAAAACAGAAGCTTTCCATAAAAAGAAAATATATTTTCTTAATCTTCTTATTTTATTAACAAAAATTTTAAATACATAAATATAAATTTTCAAACCAAAAACTTTATTTATTTTTTGCTTATTGAAATGCAGTACATATTAACTCTTTTACAAAAAAGGGCTTTAAAAACAACTGAAACTTGTAAATTATATAATCTTTTTCTTCAATATGAGATGTATATACCCCTTCTGTTTGTTTTTGTTGTTTCTTTTGTTTTTGTTGATGTTTTCTTTTTTCAAAATGTTTTTTTTTTTTCATTTTCTTCATAATGTACTTTGATTGTAGGCCTATATGCTCACTTTTCCCATAATAATTTTTTTTAAAAAAGAGGTTGACTGAGGATGATTAACCAATCCAAACTGCCGACCGAAAACAAGTTTCTAAACTTGGTAGTTATACGTAAATGTTCTTTGTCAAGGATGTATTAGTGAGAAATGCTGTATAGGCCGTTATTTGTAATTTACTTCTGTTGAACTATAACGTTAAAGTAAAGCAAAATCCCCAGACGGCTGGAATATTCACCTAACGTTAGAGTAATTATTGTTTTTCCTCCCATCTTAAAATTTATTTTCATTTTTGTTTTAAAAAGTTTTTATTGTTGTTGTCATAATGCATTCCTACTACTTTAATATTAACTTACCCACCTTAATATTGAGTGTATTATAAAATGTCTACATTTGTATTATGTGCTAATGTTTACAAAAAAAGCTGCCTACCTGCTTTCGGTAGTAACGTTAGTTGGACCCACGTGTCAGTTGCGTGGCAACGGATGACAACATTTAACTCCGCTTTGAACGGTAAGGGTCATTGTGCACGTTTCTGTTTGTTTGTTGTGTTCCTACTAGTCATGTACTTTTATATCAACACTAACACAAGTATTGGATTGTTGGATATGCCGTAATAGTTTGTACTTTAACATATGGTTAATATAAAAAGTCATCAAAATTATTTAAAATATTTAAACAAAACAAGAAAATGTGCGTTTAACAACACAAGTGTTGTATATAACATAATAGAAAAGTCTTTCCTTTAGTTTTTAGCACAACATTTGTCAGTGTTTTACCTTGTAAATTAGCCTGTCGGCGCCATATATTTTTAATGAACGTATCTTTGCTCTTCTTAAACTCAGAGCTGAAGTGCAGTGTAATATGGCTGTTCCCTTCTCCAACACACACCTGCGCATCCCAAGAGGCTTTGGGAATTTATTAGAGGGTCTTACCAGAGAAGTGTTGAGAGAGCAGCCAGAGGACATCGCCACTTTTGCTGCTGTCTACTTCACAGAGCTGCTCAAAGCCAGAGAAGGTGACTGAGACGATCCTGATGTTTAATAGTCATCAGGAAGTGATTGTTTATATAGCCATATGCCTCTGGTAAAGGCAGAAAGGATTTTGGTTGCAGCAACTATTGCACACCCATTATATTAAGGAATTCTTGAAAATAATGAACAGGTCTGTCACAATCATAAATGTTGAGTTGTTGATTAAGAAATAATTGGCTTTTTTACTTATGAAAAATCTCATTTAATAGGCCAATGTTACTTTGTTCTGTGAAAACAATATTTTATTACTTTAAATTTGTCTATCTTTAATCTTGGTCTTTTGTACTGACTTAAAACAGCAAACCTGAATATAATGTGGAATGAATAAGTGATGTTGAGCTGTTTAATTATTTACAGTGAACAATTCAACAGACTGGAGACAATTATTCCACTTTTATACCACACATGAAGACACTGTTCAGATGCTGTATTTCAAGACATTTGTCATTTTGTGTCCTTAAATTGCTCTGGCTTATAGGACAAGGTTCTTAGACATCTCATCCATAGCCTTTGTTGTTGTTGTTGTTGTTGTTGTTGTTGTTGTTGTTGTTGTAGGCTATGGAATACCTGAACTCATTGATCATTAGTGAACTGTAAAAAAATATATGATCAGTTTGTCCTGACAGCATATTTTTTAGGTCATTGTAACTTACTAGTTAATCATCTTCTAACTTAATTGTATAAGTTATGCAAGTTGTTTTAAGTCAGTTAACACAATATAAGTTCAATGGACTCATAAGTTTAATTTAATTCAGCTTAAAAATTCAAGGCAACCAGGCCATTTTTTTTGTACAGTGTGATAATTCATGAATCTGATTCATTAGTGATTTGAAACATTAACTTGGCCAAGACCTGCCTGGAACTACTTTATCTGTGCATTTATCTGCACAGCTTTGAATGTCTATCAGCCAATTTAGAATCAGGCATTCAAGAGCCCTGTAGTATAAAATATAATATAATATACATTTTTCATTTATTTATTTCTGTCTCCAAAGAAATACAATAAGCATCAACTTGTCCACTTAAATGTTTGAAACTAATGAAGAAATATTTTGGCATGACATAAACGTTAACAGTAAATTCTTTTTTTGACAATTATTTCTTGATTGGCCCTTATTTACAGTTTGATTTTTTTTTCTTTTTTAAATATTTCCTAAATGATGTTTAACAGAGCAAGGAAATTGTCACAGAATATCTGATAAAAAAAATTCTTCAGAAGAAAGTCTTATTTGTTTTATTTCGGCTAGATTAAAAGCAGTTTTTATTATTGTTTTTATTATTTTAAGGTCAAAATTATTAGCACATTTAAGCTATATGTTTTTCGATAGTCTAAAGAACAAACCATCATTATACAATAACTTGTCTAAATACCCTATCCAGCCTAGTTAACCTAATTAACCTAGTTAAGCCTTTAGGAAAATTGGGGAAAAAATAAACAAGGGGGCTTCAGGGGGTTTAATAATTATGATTGCAGCTGTATATAACCCTTATATATTTTCACTGTTATCTCAAATAATTGTTTGAAAAGATAATCACATCTCAACCAACCACAAACAGGAAATTAATCAATCATTTTGTTTTGTTAAAGAAAGTGGTCTTGACCCAGCAGAGTGGGGTGCCAAGTTGGAAGACAGGTTCTACAACAATCACTCATTTAAGGTAACTTGCGTGAAAAAAAAGATAAGACTTTATGAACCTCATATATTACATTTACTTTTTCTAATGTGCATGTTTTGTTTGTTCTTCTCAAAACAGGGAACATCATTACAAGGAAACATCATTTCACCCAAAATAAACACAAGGTCTGTTGTAAAGTGAGAAAGTGTGATTTCACTTCTTCAGTTTCCCAGATGTTTGCCAGATCAGAGAAACAGCTGTGACTGCAGACAGAAAGTTTAGACAATGAAATTGAAAATGATTAATAGGTTTGAATTGTTTGCTTTTCCTTTTTCTGAATGAGTACACTCTAAATAACGATTAGTTACTTTACTTTAAAAAGTATTTAAACCTGTGACCTTAAAAGCGACAAGTTTACTTTAATAAAGCATTATTAAACCCATTGTAACTAGGTTCTGTTATAATTAGACACATAGTTAATTTACTTAAAGGTCTCGCAAAATTAAAATAGCGTTTTTTAGATGTTAGTATGAGTCTTTTGGTTTTAAGGATATCTATTTGCTAGTGTGTTTCAAAACAGTGACAAAATTCATGTTTAGAAAATATAAAACCAATATCCAAAGCTTGCAGTTTGTCACTTCCCTAAATCGTTTTTACTTCAGTTTCTCATCAAATCTTGACCAATCAAATGCTCTCTAGTATCTAGCATGCCCGGCCCCCTTCTGAAGGCTTCAAATGCTTCTTTTTTATTTTCATTTGATGCTCTTGAACTCAACCACTCTCATTGAAAACAAAATGTTTTTGGCTATTGGCTGTTTTTTTAAAAGGGGAGGAGCTACCAAATGTGCCATGCTCTCTTCATTTTTCAGTTGAGGTTACGTCAAACACAGAATAAAAAATACAAAGCACTTCACTGCACCTTTAATCATTTTAAAACAACAAGTTTACTCTCTTTTCTTGAGCGTGAAGTCAACTAATCACTTTAAAAGCAACAGGTTTACTCACCTTTTTAAATTACAATCAACTAATCATTTCTTTTATATAAGTACAGTGGTGTCCTGCAGAGTTTAGCTCATACTCTATTTAAAGTCTCTGAACATGCTTATCAGGGCCTTCGGACTCATCAGAAACTTCCAAGCAATTGTGTTGAAGCTAAACTCTGCAGGATGTTGGCTCTCCATTAACATGATTGGAAGCCCCTGCTATAGTAGGATGAAGCTTGGCAGGAGGCTCTCCATCTAATAGACAGGATTTCGATCATTTGATCAAGCCGAGGGCAGCTTTTGGAAGATTGATGATAATGTCAGAGCACAGATATGCATCTGGATTATACATTAGGATCCATTTATTATTCCTGTTGTACATGTTTGTGTTGTATTTACTCACGTTATTAATCACTACTGCATATAAAACTCTCCATGGCTTCTTACATCTCAATTTTTAGAATCAACGCAGAATCGAGTTCTGAAACTTTGGGAAACAACGAGACTCAGCTCTCTGCATTAAAAGACCTCGACACTGATAATTCAGTTGGCAGTGAGGTCAATTTAGATAAGAAGTTTGATGAGGAATCTGGTGAGAAGGAACGCGGACATGCTGAAGATATTCTCCCTGCAGAAACAGCAGATGGTGATAAATGTGCTGAAGAGCTAAAAGACACCAATGAGATTCCAGGAGAAACATCAGAAGTTGCAAAAGAAGAAGTAGATGTTGACATCTGCAGATCCGAACTTGAGCCTACACCTCTGCCTTCATTTGGTGGCCATGCAAATGTGGATGTTTGTGCTGAAGAGATAAACCTCCAGTCTGAATCCAGCAAGAGCAAAGAAGAGTTGGTTAGCCCAAAACCATTGTTCCTGAATAAAGACCAATCTGAATCACAAGACGAAATACATTCACACACTGAACAAGATGCAAGCAAACAAGCTAATGAAATGTCTGATCATGGTGATGATGATGATGCTGAAGATCCTGAAGAGGAAGTGTCAGAAATTGCTGATAATTTATTAGAAGACATTGACCCAGAAGAGAAGAGCACTGAGCAGGTTTATGCAGAAGAATCCACTGAAAGCACCATTGAAAAATACATAACTGAAAGTGTAGCAGGGCAGGAATCAGAAGATGCAATCAATGAAGATCAAGAAGAGACCAATTATGAGTACACAAGCACCAATGACTTTGTTGAAGATGCAGGTGATTCAACTTCTGATATCAATAGCCGATCGCTGATGGAAATGAAAGACACTCACGTTGACTACAGTGATGAAATACACGACAGTAAAAGTGAAGTCGTTGATGTCTTAGATGAAGTTCACCATCAGTGCGACACTCGTACAGGTGAGGAAGAAGCTGAAAACAGCAGTGACGAAGAGAATACTTCTAAAATTCTAGATGCGTTAAATGAGGAAGACTTTTTGGAAACTCCAAAACCTGTTTCCCAAATGAACGACAGTGAAGCTGAAGCAAGCAACGAGATTTTAAATGCTGACGCTTTTGAGAAAGATCTAAACACAGAGAATGTAAATGAAGGAAGTGATCTTGACAGTGATGGCTTTGAGGCTGAAGAGATGGATCTGGACATTTCAAATGTGCTTCAGCCAAATGAGGAAAAAACTGAGGATGAAGGAAATCATGATCCTGAACCAGAGGAAGATGCTTTCTCTGAAGCAGAACAAGCCAATCCTGAGCCTTTAGAGAACGAAACAGTGGTTGTCAATGAAGAACTTTTTGAGTCACAAGAACAGACTGAAAATACTGAGAATGATGTAGATCAAGAGGATCAGTTGGAGGAGCAAAGGGATAAAATCCAAGAAATGACACTTGAAAGTGAAAACCTGGAGAATACTGACATCTCTGAACCAAAGGTAAGGGATTTTTGAACATAATGTACATTTATTGTGAAATAAAAAGCTTCATCTATGATTTGGATTTAAATATTAACAAATCTAAAACAGGAATCAATTAAAATACTAATTAATTTTTATAATTATCCGCTAAGTATGAAACTATCATTTAATCTATTCTATTTAACCTGTTACAGTATCAGCAAGATGTTTTTATTATTGTAAATAATTAAAAATATTTATTAAAAAAAATCATGATCATATATTCTTTTATAGTTTAAAGTTTTAATAATCCCCTTTAGGGTTTTCATTCTGACATGGTGGTGCTTCACATATAACAAGAATGACACACTTAACACAATAAACACCAACACTTAACATCAAGTACACAAACAAAAAAACTAAAAGAAAATAAGAAAGAAAAAAGGATAATAATAATAAATTCAATAAATAATCCTTTATATAAAAATTATTAATAATAATCCATTGATTAACTACATTTATTACAGTGCATCCTGAAAGTTTTCATAGCGCTTCACTTTTTCCACATTTTTTTATGTTGCAGCCTTATTTTAAAATGGATTCAATTCATTTGTTTCCTCAAAATTCTACACACAATATCCCATAATGACAATGTGAAAAAATATTTTTTGAAATTGTTGCAAATTTATTAAAAAATAAAAAAAAACTGAAAATTCACATGTACAGTACATAAGTATTCACAGCCTTTGCTCAATACTTTGTTGATGCACCTTTGGCAGCAATTACAGTTTCAGGTCTTTTTGAATATGATGCCACAAGCTTGGCACATCAGTCTTTCAGAATTTTTGCCCATTCCTCTTTGCAGTACCTCTCAAGCTCTATCAGGTTGGATGGGAAGCGACAGTGTACAGCCATTTTCAGATCTCTTCAGAGATGTTCAATAGGATTTAGAGCTTGGCTCTGGTTGGGCCAATCAAGGACATTCAACAAGTTATTGATATTTTGGCGGTGTGCTTTGGGTTATTGTCCTGCTGGAAGATGAACCGTCACCCCAGTCTGAGGTCAAGAGCACTCTGAAGCAGATTTTCATTCAGGATGTCTCTGTGCATTGCTGCATTCATCTTTCCCTCTATCCTGACTAATCTTCCAGTTCCTGCTGCTGAAAAACATGCTTCACTGTAGGGATAGCATTAACCTGGTGATGAGCGCTGCCTGGTTTTCTCCAAACGTAACACCTGGTATTCACTTTAAAGAGTAAAATTTTTGTCTCATCAGACCAGAGAATTTGTGGGGAGTGGCTTCCGTTTGGCCACTCTACCATACAGGCCTGATTGGTGGATTGCTCCACAGATGGTTTGCCTTCTGTAAGATTCTCCTCTCTCAACAGAAGAACGGTGGAGCTCAGACAGAGTGACTATCGGGTTATTGAACTAAGGCCTTTTTTCTCTGATCACTTGCCTTAGATGGCCGGCCAGCTAGAAAGAGTACTGGTGGTTCCAATCATCTTCCACTTACAGATGATGGAGGCCACTGTGCTCATTGGAACAGAGCAGCAGAAAAGTTCAGAGCAGCAGAAAAGTTTATACCTTCCCCAGCCTTGTGCCTCGAGACAATCCTGTCTCAGAGGTCTACAGACAATTTCTTTATCTTCATTCTTAGTTTGAGCTTTGACATGCACTGTCAACCCTGGGACGTCATATAGACAGGTGTATGCCTTTTCAAATCATGTCCAATCAACTGAATTTACCCAGGTGAACTCTAATTAAGCTGCTGAAACATCTCAAGAATGATCAGTGGAAACAGAATGTACCGGAGCTCAGAGCTTCACAGCAAAGGCTTTGAATACTTATGTACATGTAATTTGTCAATTTGCAACAGTTAAAAAAAAATATTATTTCACATTGTCATTATGGGTTTTTGTGTGTAGAATTTTGAGCAAATAAATTAATTGAATCCATTTTGGAATAAGGCTCTAACAGTTGAAAAAATGAAGTGCTATGAAAACTTTCTGGATGCACTTTACATAACCAAATTCCTTCAGGCACAAAAGTAAACTTATAAGGATTTGTGGAACATCTTATTGTCCTTAGACGTAACCCAAGGGGGGCATTCACTCAAAATAAGGGGTGTGTGCTGTCTCCTTGTATTTTACCAAAGAAATCCAACAAATAAAAGAAAAGGACAAAATACGTTCAATAAATGAATTATAAAAGGTCTTAAGAATAACTCTCTCTACATTAAACAGCCTTTGTTGAGCCTTATTAATAATTGTATGTGTGTTTTAATCAAATTTCAACCTGTTGTCATTTATTGTTCTTAGGAGGTACCTATATTCCTCCACATCCATGACCTGTGTGTCATTTAAGACCACCCTTTGGAGAGCAGGTGTTTTTTGCCAAAGCTAATGAGCATTTCTTTGGTCTTTGACACATTCAGGTCTTGTTTCATTTTATTGCACCATGAGATAAAGTCATGCAAGACTGAACCTTGTTCCTGGTCTGAGTGAATAAGAGCAGAAACCAGGAGTTATATATGTTTTCATGAGTACTGTACAGGTCAGAAATGTTTTGTTGTTTACTTGAAATATATCTTATGCTGAATGGAGCATATATTTACATGAAGTGAAAAAAATGATGACAAATTAATATCACGGAATGCATCACGGTGGTGCAGTTGGTAGCACGATCACCTCACAGCAAGAAGGTCGCTGGTTTGAGCCTCAGCTGGGTCAGTTGGCATTTCTGTATGGAGTGTGTATGTTCTCCCGGGGTTCGCGTGGGTTTCCTCCGGGTGCTCCGGTTTCCCCCACAAGTCCAAGACATGGTGTATAGGTGAATTTGGGTAAGCTAAATTGTCCGTAGTTTATGTGTGTAAATGGGTGTGTATGGGTGCTTCCCAGTGATGGATTGCAGTTGGAAGGGTATCTGCTGCGTAAACCCTTCTGGATTCGTTGGCGGTTCATTCTGCTGAGGGAATAAACTGAAAAGAAAATAAATCAATGTATGGATGAATAGATAAGTTGGCGGTTCATTCTGCTGTGGCTACCCCAGATTAATAATAAAGGGACTAAGCCGAAAATAAAATGAATGAATGAATGAAAGTATCACAGCATGAAAAATAATTATATAGCTCCTCATAATTATGACCTAATTATTTTTTTCCTGAAGTTTTCTCTTTAACTTTCAGTTTAATATATGGATCCAAATACATGTGATTTTAAAGCAGCTTCACATAAAAGACTTGTTTCAGTGCTACAAGTAAGAACGTTGATGTTATGTGGCATAGCTTCTATTAAGCAAATGCAAGGCAATGATTACAGCTTGTGCTCAAAATCATTGCTTGGACTGTGGTCCATCTGGAGTGTTGCTGTCTCATTAGCGGCTCTTCCTAATGGCAAAAATTACCAGCCATTCCTCAACCAACTATGGAATCAGACTGTTTCCTTTATTGTCCCAAGTTAAAAGTAAAAATACAATCTTCAAGGACATGTCTGATCAACAGCATGGCTGTGTACCTCTCTGGAGAACAGTGATTGAAGATGTCCCTAAAATAGTCCAGCTGGTGAGTACAAGACCAGAAGAGGGTAAAAAAACAGCTGAAAGTATACTTACATCCTATAGCATTTACAGACCCAAACAAATGATCACAACATATATCAGGGACATTTAAAAAGATTTAGGTCTTTCACCAAGAGGTCAGAAAGAATATATATGAGCTTTAAAGGGGTTCGAAGGAGACAGATTTGGTGGTGTTTCCATGGAAACAATTTACCGACCATCTATCCGAGGGAGAAAGTGATCTAGATTTTGGAATTGTGTGATATATTTCCAAAAACAGAATATGTGCTCTATTGGCCGCCTTATTTTCTAATCCACAGTCCGAAGTGGAGTGTTTAGAGTTCTGTAGGGGTTAATTAGAGACGCACACTAAAAGCAAAGCTCTCATCCTCCTGATTCAATGTAGGTCATCTAACCTGACCTATATCAACTCTTGTCCAATGACTTTATACGCTGTAGGAGGAGCAAGGGAATCGTGTAGTTTCTATTTTCAGGAACAATATTCATGGCTATCATCAATCTCCGGCTCGACTGTAAAGTCACCTCATCTTCTTCTTGGAAACTCTGTTTTAACACTTCAGTGCTCTGTGAAGCGACTTCATTAGCTCCTAGTCTTGCACATCCAACAGATGCCAAGAAAAGAGAAGTGATATAGTTACAGCACATCAGAGCTGCATCTTCTCGCTTTAATCTTGGTAGGGTAGGAGGCAGGAGATGCAGCCGCGTGTTCTAGAAATAAAGGGCAATGGATTTACTGTCTGTTTGTCTTACTCTACAGTATATTGCCACAGGCTGAAGGAGGCACTGACTGTGTGGGACTGACTGAGATGTGTGGTGCTGCTTCTAGTGTTTTCTTATATATAATGATAGCCCTCAGGGAATATTTTGAACTGTGTATGTTTGAAGTGATGTTATATAATTGATCGGAACCGTGCATGTCTCATTTCTTCTTTCTGAGGTTAAATCAATTATCTCTGGTGGTTTTGGTAACAAGACAGTAAGAATAATGGCGCTGTAAACGTCAGCATTAATATATATATATATTTGTAACGGGCACAGCTTGCTCTGACTGACAGCGCCAGAGAGATGATGCTCGCGCGCTCTTCTTTTCCGCGCGCGCGCGCGCGTGCGCGTTCACTCTCTCCATCCTCCCACCCTGAAGGACTGTGAATTATAAGGATAGTTAGAGAAAAGGCGTTATTCGTCCAAGGCATTTGCCCTGTGAGGAGGTTTACGCTCTGTTGCTCTCATATAAGACGAGAACACGTTTATCAGCGTGTGTAATTGCGCGTCATGGATTGTCATATCGTAAGTACTGACCAATTTAATTATTGTTTACAAAGAATATAATAAATAACTATCCTGAATGCGAGCACATTTGATATCATGGAAACTTCATTTAACTTATAATTTGCTTAAATAGAACACAGAGACGTTTGTAATACTTGTTTGCATTCTGGAAGTTTATTCACTGGCCATGCTAATTTAGAAATTGTTTGTGCTTTTATCATCAGATACATCGGCTACTTTTTGCTTACACTTTAGCATGGTTACTTTTCATTTGATGGCATAAGTAGTCGCATGAGAACATTCAAAAAACAAAAAGTGCGTATAAACTGAATGAACATTTATATTAAATAGTCTCTTGATGGCGCTATATATCCTAAGGTATTGTAATAAAAAAAAGTATATATCCTAAGTATAATATTTGTGTAGTGTCATTGTTTCTTTTTTATAAACGTAAAAGTGTTCTATTTTTGTTTGTAATAATAGGTTTTGGCAATTTTAAAATAATTTGTTATTAATCATAATTCATCAATATTAATAAAAAAGGTTGCATTCATATGTACACCATAAAGCCCATTAAGAATGTAGGGTGTGTGGCTATAATTCCTGAATGGATTAAGTAATTTTTTTTTTTTAAAGTGCAAAATAAATAAATGAAAAAAAGTGTGGCTGACATTGCTAATCCACTTTTGACAACCTTTACACATTATTTTTCTTTTTATTTATCACATTATTTATCTTTGCACTGTCTATTTAATTGTCTGATGAAACATGCAAAGTTTAATTCTGTTAATTCTGTAATTAGTTGTATGTGCTTGGATGCCAATAATTTCAGCATGCTGTTTGATTTGCATATGCAAAATGATTACCCATTGGTTTTAAAATATTTTGAATCATATTTATGTGTACTTCAGACATTCTTGTAACTGCATATTTTCATTAGAGGTTGTCCATATAGGTAGCGCAAAGCTTCAGAGGCAAATAAAATGAACAAATGCGTATTTACTGGGTATTTTGGAACGCCTCTGCCTGTGGCCACATATGAGCATGTTGGCAAAATACTTGGTTAATGTGAAATGAGGCTGATTCTTGGTTCAAAAGTGGGTGGACATGCTCCTACCAAGGTTTTACAATGGACTTCTGCTCATCACCCTCACACAGGCTGTTTAAAGACTGCCAACCAGCCTCTGCTGAGCCGTTTTACATATGCTAAGTTGTGGTGGGAGAAAGCATGTGGTTTCACAGCTTCAGGAAGACTTAATGAGACAAATAACATCACATCCCACCACACACACTGTTTGTTGATGTGTGCTGACATGCTTCACAGAGCGCAGGAAGATGGTCACAGTTGGTTTTCGTAATGTCTGTGTGGTTATGTTGTTCAAATAAAAGAGTTATTATTATTATTATTATTATTATTATTTTTGTTGTTGTTGTTCATTATCATTACACTGTTAAACTTAACAGCTTTATCAAATGAGTGTAGTTAACTCAAAATTGACTGAAAGTTAATTCTATTCATTTGAAAAGAGTTTTGAACTCAATGTTGGAGAGTTAAACATGAGTTATTTAAATACCTCATTACTTCAACTTAAATGGAGTAAGTTCAAAGTACTCATATAGACTAGTTTTTAACTCAAATGGTTTGTAACAATCGGTTTCCCCAAATGATTTGAGTTCTCTTCATTTATTGGGTTTTACTGTGCTTAAATTGCTTCGTTTACTCAAATGCATAAAGTTCACAGTACTTATTAGGATTAGTTTTTTTTAACTTAAATGATTTGTTGTTGCAATCGGTTTCCTCAAATGGTTTGAGTTACCTTAGATTTGTTTGGTTTTACAGTGTAGGTATGCTTAATGGGTTTCCTACTTTTTCTTTGTTGGTATTTAATTAAGAAATTTTTATATCCAGTGGACCTTTCCATTTACAAAATTGTGGGTAAAATGTTTACTGTAATGTTCTTTGGAAAACCAAAAATGGTTCTTCTATTGCATTAAACTGTAATGAAGGATTTTTTCAAAATAGTTTAATATAAAAACATTCCTAAATCAAAATACATTGGGAATACAAACTTGAGAAGCAACATGACTTAAATTATTTCCACATATTCAGAAAAATAATATACTAAATAATGTAAATAAATAAGTATTTGTGCAAAACAATAAAAAAAAATCACGCTATTTTTCTTTTTGTAATCATCTTAGTTAAATAATTTATAAGTGTTTAATGACTAAAACACTTAGGGTGCATTTTCATTGCATGGTACGGTGCAGTTTTGTTCATTATGGCTCACATTTGGTGGCCTTCCACTGAGCTCCATCCCCAGAACTGATACCTTTTTTAGTACGATCTTGGTTGATGTATCAGACGGGCCATTTCCAAAAACATGACGTATGCATATTGATGTATTCAGCAGCAATAAGTCTGAGAGAATCATCCCTATCATCACTAGATTTTTAGAATGAGATACCAAATTCATTATATTTAAATAGTCAGCTGCAGCCACTACACAAGAACACCATTATATTGGTAGCATCCCTGGCCTCTGTGTTGTGGGTTGGTTTGTTGTCATACATTTGTTTGTTGCATTTACAATGATGTGAACAATAGAGATAAAGCCACTTACTTTACTAAACTGCAGTGGAAATGCAAACCAAACTGAAGTGAGTCAAGCCGTGTCAAACCATACTGTACCATGCAATTGGAAAGCCCCTTAAATAAGATTTCTGCAGAATCTTCAGTTGTTTTTCAAGGAAAAATGGTCACTGAAATACCGTGAAGCTGATGGATAGTGATTCATTGCAAAGGGGCTTAAATAGGCAGGAGATACATCACGCTAAACCCACTGTGGTGAAATATAAGACTTTAAGGGATAAGCCGAATCAGTTTAAGCAAGCACAAAATCAATATGCAGCAAACTCAGTGTTGGTTTTGAATTTATTGTTCATTCCTTTTCCCTGTTAGGAGGAATGCAGCCAGCCACAAGAGGAAGAGGATATTATGGACATCCCATTGGATGACCCAGAGGCCAATAAAGCGGCCGCCAAAATTCAGGCCGGCTTCCGTGGTCATATGACCCGGAAGAAGATGAAACCAGGCGAAAAGCCCGGTGAGGAGGTGAGCAGCAGTGGTGAGGCCCTCAACGGCAGCCAAGGGGACTCAGGTCAGTCACTGTCCCCAACAGTACAAGAGCAGTAGTTTCAACACCCTTCCACAAGGCGCAGAGGTCGCCAGCCATTTCATCCAATTCAGTTTGGCGAGGCATTCAAAAGCCCTAACAGAATTTGGCTTTGAGATCTGAAGTAAACAACTAGAGCTTTGAACTTTAATGAGAGTTGAAGAGTGTGTTGATTCGCCTTTTCTGTACTGTGTACTTAGAATTTAGAGTCAAAAAATAAAGAAATATTGCACTCATTATTAAGTGCATTAGTGCCCACACAATTTTTCAAAGCAGCTCTGGGTTTGAGATTGTGTTGTTCCCCATTCGTTTTTCACATATGGATTTTAATAAAGTCTTTGATGAAGTGATAAAGATAAACATGGAACGTAAAACCCTTCAAAATCGAAGACAAAAAAAAAAACACCAGACAAATAGGCAAAGATTCTGGGAAAACTGGGACTGAACTGCTTTAATAGGAAAGAACTGAAATCCCATCATTCACTTCACATGGCACAACTGAATAGAAAATGACAGAGAATTATGAAACTGTCCATTTAAATTTGTTATTTAAACCTTTCAGAATATATGATCAAAATAACAAATGACTACTGATATGTAGTGATTGACAATCAATTATTAACGGCGCCCACTGTAGCTAGGCAGGGCTGCACCTGGTCAGTACCTGGATGGGAGATCACATGGGAAAACCAGGTTGCTGCCAGAAGTGGTGTTAGTGAGGCCTGCATGGGGTTCTCAACCTGCACTCAGTGTGGGTCCTAATACCCCAGTATAGTGAAAGGGACTCTATACTGCTCAGTAAGTGCCATCTTTTGATTGAGATATTAAACCAAGGTCAAACTGTGGTCATTAAAAATCCTTTGAAAAAAGTAGGGGTTTAACCCCGGCATCCTTGCCTAATTTGCCCACTTGTCGCTGTCCATTATGGCCTCTTAACCATCCTCATATCATAATCGGCTTCGTCATTCTATCTCCTCTCTACCAATTAGCTGATGTATGGTCTGGCGCAATACGGCTGCCATTGCATCATCCAAGTAGATGCTGCACACTGGTGGTGGATGAGGAGATCCCCCAATGTATAAAGCGCTTTAAGTGTCTAGAAAAACACTATATAAATGTGAGGAATTATTATTATTATTATTTTTTTTAAACTTCTTAACTTTTCAAAAATGAAAACTATTAATCTTAATACACAAAACCATTGTGTTATCTAAAATGTATATAGCCATTTCTGAAAATACCTGTTTATTATATGCAAACATAAAGGTCTAAATTGCATGTTTATTTCATTTTCAGAAGAAATATAATCAGTAGTAAATAAAACAAAAGGACAGAGAAAACCACTATTTTAATTTCAGTAGCTGTATATACAAACATTTCATTATCTTAAAAAGTGCAAGGAAACAATATATTATGCCATTTGGGGTGCTTTATGGAAGTCTGTGTATTTAAAGATCTCATTTGGCATGTTTTATTTACTTTATTTTTATTTACAGTGCATCATGGGTAATGTAGTTTTCCTCTATATATTCTATTAAACACAATTGCTTTACAAATCAATTATTCAAGTGGGTTCAACAGTTTATTAATAATCAACACACATAAGGTTTTTCTTTAAATGTTCATCAGTTACTATTAAAAATCCATTTCCCCATAGTGATAATGAATTGGCTTTTTTCTTCTGGAGACTAACATTTACATTTAACATCAAATTCTTAATGAAACCTAATAAAAAAGTCCATTAATTATGTTTAACGAGGGATATCTTTATACTGAGTAAACATAATGAGACATGCGTGCATGTGCTTTTTAATCACTTTCTGAGTGCTTAGGATAATGATTCTCTTAATTAAGCAATTATAAACGAGCACATCTGTCATTTTCCCTAATTGTTCAAAGATTGCAACCATCTCAGATTCCATTCAGCAATTTACAGAGATCCCGTGGAGTCACTCTGTAGTCTGTATTATCTCAGTTTGTTGAGACACAGATCTCTCAAATCTATTTTCTTTTGTGGGTGGTTTAAGCCTCCACAATTCCAAGACTCAATATTAAAGCCTCACGCAGATTCGTGCCCCTTTCATTTTTCTTTCGGGTGATGCATTTTGTCCTGCGCAAAATTGCCTTGTTTTCTTGAGATGCTGGGTAAACTGTTTCCCCCAGCTCAGTATGCAGTATGCAAATGATTCTTGAGCTGCTGATCCCCAGAGATGAGCTGAGATTTTACTTTGAAGCAACAAATAGGCCAGAACTGATGGAAAGACAATAGCGTCAATGTTACCAGTTGAACGAGCTGCGTCGTCCTTTGAGGAGGAACAGACTAGATCTGGCCATTTGATGTGGAAAGTGGGGCAAGCAATGAGAATGAAGGTGTCCTTCCAACCTCCAGCCGGGCCCAAATATCTCTCCTTCAGCTGTGCTGCTCTGCTTTACCCCACCTCTGTGCCCAATTTAGGCCTTTCCCGAGCAACATCAACCCAGTTCTCGGTTGCTAAGCATTTTATGTATGAAAGTGTTATTTTTATCCTCAGGTGTATCTGCATCGCTAAAACGAGGCTGTGCTCTGTTTTTACTCGGACAAAAATAAAAGACAGGATGAGATCAACTCATATTCTGCCAAAATCCATCAATAAGTGTCAAATTGTGGTGAATGCCAGTACAAAATGTTTTTACTTTGTTTGCCTTGCATGAACAATGCAGCATTTTTAGTCAAGGATTGCTTGTAAAACTTTTTTTAGAACACCGTGTAAACGTATTCTTAAATTTGTCTTCTAGAAAATGTTACAAATTGCTTTAATTTTACTATAAAACTAGAAAAATATATTTGCTAAAGGATCAGTGAGGAATACTTTTTCATGTTTGTGTGCAAAACTTAATTAATTTAGCTTTTGAAGCAGAGGCCAGCTTCATTCCTTTGACTGCTAAAGGTGCTCTAGAGACAGACGCTAGAGGCCATGGTCTTTAGCCTTCATGGTAGAAAAACCGACTTCCACATGGAAGGTTGCTGGTTTAATCTCTGCTTGGAGTGGATTTGGTGGTATATGATCGGCAGGGTTTCACATCCTCATCAACCATCAAAGTTCAGTTCCAAAACTCAAGACCGCAAGAACGGAGGACACATGAAAGTTCCCGGATGCATTCTTGATATTGAGGATGCAAGGATGCAGACTTGAGCACAAAACTCGCTCGAGAAGTCCCAGAGGTCATTGTGGCTGGATAATGGAGGAGGGAAGCACTGCATTCTATCCCTGTTTATTCATAAAGTTCAGAGATATAGCTTATTTATCTCAGGAGTTTCCCTAAATAAGACGGTGAAAGTAAATGCTACCATTAATGTCTGTGCCAATAGCCTAGTTAAGTGTGTCAACATATAGACCCATGGTGCTCACGGCGACCTCAGTTTAATTCCTGGCTCAAGGTCTTTTGCTGACCCTTCCCTTTTCTCAGCTCCCAATACTTTCCTTTCTGTAACCTCCACTGTCTCATCTGATTAAAGGTGGAAAACCCTTAAATACAATTATAAAAACATTACCATGAAAATTTTAATAAAGGCATAAACCAATTAAGGGTGTTTATTTGCTGAAATTCATATTAAAATCAGTTTTATTTGTATTGTGCAAAGTATATTCGTAAGGTTTTTGTGCTTGTTATATAAATATTGAAAAGGGGAACCAATAAATGGTTGTATGAATGATGTAATGTTTAAATAATTTACCGTTACAAATACGTGAAGGCCATGTGACCATCAGGAAGAACACAACATCTCATTTTTAAAGGACGTGTTCTGTGTTCTCATGATCCCTCGAGTTCGTTCTTCCGAGGTGACCGAGCAAGACAACTCTCCACGAGAACGCAAGTCCATTCTCTGCGTTCTTGAAATTGAGAAACAGCCATTGACTTTTCTAACCAGTTTGGGTTTTTTGTTTTGTTAAACACAAAATCGGTTAGTATAAAGGATATTGGAAACATTAGTAAATGTCGGCAGAAATTTCATTTTTAGATCAACTATACCTTCAAAAATCTTGAGATATTTCCACTGAATCAGATTTCTATTTACAGTGTAAATTCTATTCCATTTCTTTTTACAGTGTGTTTCAATGCTTTGTGTTGAGGAATTATAGTTTGAGCAAAGAAAGTATTTTCTATTGGGACAAAACAAATTAGGCAGACTTGTTTGTGCATAAAAAGGAAGAATGAATACAATCGAATTCATTCATTCATTTTCTTTTTGGCTTAGTCCCTTTATTAAAGGTTCAGGACACCCCAGAGAACTTTTTTTTTATATTAACAGATGCGTGTGTGTTGAGCATTAGTTAAGACAATGTTAGCACCTGTCAACTTTAATTGTGGGGAAAACTGGATAATTTTGAGCTTTTGTCAGCTAATTTCAGCTTCCGGGTTTAAAATGATTTTTGGGGCGGGATCAAAATCGGCGACGTAGCGCAGAACTGCAAGTGCAATGATGACGCGTCGGTTTCTCATTATTATTCATAGCGGAGTTTTCTTATCCTATGAGAAGAGCCGGCTGCTTAATTATTCATGAGACCTGCCAGACCTGCCAGTGTCAAGCCCGAGCTGAGAGACACGGAAACCACGGCACAGTATTTAGCCGTTCAAGAAGGCTCATATGCGTTTGTTTCCATCATCCACGGGGTTTGTTGCATGCTTTCCCCCGCGATCTTGTCAGGGCCGATCATACAGCAAAGCTGTGTGTGTGCTGCTAGCATTTTTGTCGGGAGAGCAGCACGAGAATTGGAGAATGGCGGACGCTGTCTTTTATCAGGAGTTCGTTCACATTCACACACATCGCCGTGCTGCTGTGTTTGCCTAAATCCTCCAGATTATCAGCAGGGTTAATGGTTAAAATAGACGGGTCAGGAGACCTGCTGCACTGAGTCTGCTGGATACGGGGATTGAGGGAGAAGTCCTCAATTATAGTGTTTACATGAACACGATTATCTTTATAATGATATAAATTGTGGTTTTGTGTATATGAAATTACGAATAACAAATGTAGCAGGGCATTAAATCACTGTTCATTTCTTTGCATTTTAACTTTGTAAACTATAAACTCATGCGTCTCCTCACGGTTTGTCTCATTTTTTAAGCTAACTGACAACAGCAGTTATTCGCTCCCCTTCTCCCCTGCTGGCCACGCCCACTCCTGCCCAATGCTTGCGGAGCTCCACGCCCATTAATCATGCATCTTTTGAAAAAATTCTGAAGTAGACTTTAACCGAAAGAGGGGGGTGTCATGGCCCTTTAATCTGGGGTCGCCACAGCGGAATGAACCGGCAATTTATCCAGCATATATTATTACACAGCAGATGCCCTTGCAGCTGCAACCCATAACTGGGAAACATTCACACACACACACTCATACACTACGGACCGGAGCACCCGGAGAAAACCCACGCGAAAACAGGGAGAACATGCAAACTACACACAGAAATGGGGATAACTCACCTTAAAGGCCCAGTGCAAAAAAACAGCATCAACCTTTTCCCAGCTATAATACAGACACTTAAAACAGCTATAAAAAATACTCTGATGGGTGTTTTGAGCTGAAACTTTACAGACACATTCTGGGGACACAAAAGACTTATATTAAATATGAAAAAAGGGGTAACCTATGTGCCCTTTAAAATGTATGTACTGTAGTCTACAGCACTTGGGAGAAACGCATAAAGGCTGATAGGAAGAGCAAAATAGTTTCTGCCTCCTTTTTTTTATTCCATAAAGTCTCAGGGTAAATGCTGGGACACCTGGCACCCATCACAATACCGACGGCAACAGAGAAATACTGTAGACTGTAATAGACTGTAGGGAGAAATCTCTGTAGACGGATGGCATTATGGCATATTTGTTTTAATTCGGCTAGAATAAAAGCAGTTTAAACATTTCTAAAACCCATTTTAAGGTCAAAATTATTAGCCCCTTTAAGGTATATATTTTTTCAATAGTCTACAAAACAAACCCTCATTATACAATAACTTGCCTAATTAACCTAACCTGCCTAGTTAACCTAGTTAAGCCTTTAAATGTCACTTTAAGCAGTATAGAAGTGTCTTGAAAAATATCTAGTAAAATATTATTTTACTGTCATCATGGCAAAGATAAAATAAATCAGTTGCTAGAATGAGTTATTAAAACTATTATGTTTAGAAATGTGTTGAAAAAAATCTTCTCTCCGGTAAACAGAAATTAGGGGGGGAAATTAACAGAGGGGCTAATAATTCTGACTACAATTGTATATATTTTTAAGAATTGTAATGTGTTGCATCATCATCCTGTCACTTAATAATCGATCACTCTGATTATTAATTTTAGTTTTAAATGACAAACTGAGATACATAAACCTAATAAGTGTATGTGTTTTACAACTAGGAGGAACAGACGGAGTAGAGACAGACGGCACATCTGGACCAGAACAGTGAAGACCCTTCTCAAAGTGGATGGCTTACTGGATGCTTTCTCCAGGGATTATTTTTTTGTGTGTGTGTGTCGAAAAAAAAGTAGTAAAAATAGGCTGGATATGTCATCTGATGTGTGAACTTTTTCTCTATTCTCCGCTTCTTATCCAGTCCGGGTGTATATCAGCTCCAGCATGCTTTTGCATCCCAACAAAAAAGGCATCTGTATACTGTATATTTGATATTTATATGAATGTGAGAATGGATGGTGTAGAAATTAACACAAGCTTCTTCAGTCCGAGAGTTAAAATAATGCATCATGATTGAGTTTTGTGTTGCTTGATATTCCTTTCCTATAGTAATTTCTTTATGATCGCCTGGATTTGACCATGTAGCCACTATCACAATAAGATGTGAAATTTATTTATCGGTCATAACATAGAATGCCAGCAAGTTGTTTTTAATTGTGTTGAATGGTTTGTTTGGTTTGCTCCTCGTATTATGTTGAAAAAAAAAGAAATCAGAGCTTCCAAAGCAGCATTAATGGCATGGCATAGATTGACTATCATTCATTTTTCTTGCTTTTATTTGTACAATTATCTATCCTTAGTCTTTTAAGGTATAGTGCATATCATTAGAAGCCTAGAAATTGAGTTGTGGCAGCTTAATGAGCGATAGCCGAGATCACCTTGCATGTGGACGTCAGCATCATTAAGCTCTGTGTCAGTTGAAAAAGCGAATAAAAGCTGAGAAACGTGTGTTGCCTGCGTCAGAAATGATTTCATGCGGTTAGGGGTCATCTTTTTAAAGCCCTTATATAAAGAGTCTGGTAACGAGTGCAGGCAGTTGTATTGATATGCAGCAAAAATTGAAATATTAGGCCACACATCAGTCTCATTAGTCCGACTGGAGCGTCTCACTGGAGGGCTCACAGCTGGAGGACGGCGCTAATGAGACCTGGACAGTCATTTATCAAGGTCAAACTGCCACATGCTCTATCAAAGCAGCCTTTAGGCCATTAATAGTGATAACATTATTGAATCCGTTATGGTATATGTGCTTTTTCTGATAAATGCACATGTGGCAGAGCAGTATTGAACTGAACTGAAGGCAATGTCTAATTCGTTAGAGGTAAACATTAGAAAAAAAATACTAATACTAATAAAAACATCTAAAAAATACTAATAAAAGTTCATGTTAAGTAAAAATATTGCTAAAAGAAAATACAAATTAATTCAATATCTTAAAAGAGAATTAGAAAATATAACAATCAGGGGTGGACTTAGTGATTTGGGGGCCCTAAGCAGTTTCAGGTATGGGGCCGTAGCACTGAATCTCAAAACATTCTCTTTCAAGAGTTCACACTTAGCCAATGATCTATCAAAGCTTGTTTGGCATGCTGTCCCGGGAGAGAGCCCCGAGCTCAAGGGATCCTCGAGCCCGGGGCTCCCCCCCGTTCGCAGAGCTGGAGGGGAGCCTGAGCTCGGTGGATCTCAGAACTCCCCGACTGCGATAGCTAAGGGAACATCTGAGAAGGGGCTAGAGCATGCATGGTTCTTGAGCGTGATGTATGTCTTTAGATGGTGGAAGGAAACCGGAGAGCCCGGGGAAAACCCACGCGAACACGGGGAGAACATACGAACTCCTCACAGAAACTCCCACCGGCTAGGCGAAACTAGGCCAGTGGTGTTCTTGCTGTGAGGCTCTCAGTGCTAACCACTGGGCCACCGTGCCGCCCAATCAAATGTCAAGGAGGAGAATAGGGGAGGAAGGGGGGTTTCTTCCAAACGAAGATAATGTGGACTGAAAACTGCGGTTCTTTGTAGTAGCTTAAGGCTCATATGATTGGAAGATAATGATTAGCTAATACGAGACCGGCCGTGATAAATCATAAGCACGTGATCCTCTCGAAATTAGTTTATAAACAAACTTCACTTCTCATTAGATATTTTTTTATTTCTGTACATTATTTTTGTAAATAAACTGCATATAAATTCACAAAATAAAGTATGTACATTTAATTAGCCATTATTTGCAGTGTTGCCAACTATTTCCAATAAAAAGTAGCTAAAGCCTGCCCGACAAGCTTAAGCCCGTCATGTCTCTACTCTCTGAGGTGCCGTGTATTATATTATATTAAAACTTTACATCCAGATGCACAATAAATAGGTACTTATTGACATATTACTTTGCGTGATGATGTCATTGCGTAATCGCAACTCAAAACAACATCTTTATGTGGAATACAAAATAATTACGGTATTCTCAAATTGACTGGCCATCTCAACAAAAACATTATTTAAAATATGTTCATTTAGATTTGTATGAAAAAGAGAATTGACTATTTGTAAAAGTAACACAAACACTTTTTGATAAGAATTTTCAAATATAACACTGATAATGAACAGTTACATTCTTTTTAACAATCACAGCTTGTGCACTTACTCTTTTTAACTTGTGAAATTAGCACATTTGTGAAAGTGACAACAATTATAGCACTGTTGGAATTTATTGCTACCTAAATTAACAACATTTATACATGTTAACAAATATTAGTAAATTAACAGTTATGAAAAACAATCTGAGCAAGCAATTTACTCTACTGAGAGAAGCCTGCAGCCACTGCTCTTTGAGTCACTGTTTAAATATTCCTAAAAGTAGCAAAATGAATGTAAATGTAATTAAAGCTAGTTGCTTTTTGAAAAAAAAAAAAAAAAGTTGGCAACACTGATTATTTATGATTAGATTTTAATATAAAAAAACATGTAAACTAATTTAACCCTCTACCGCAAGCATTATGATAAATCTATTAAAAATTATATTTGACTGATTTCGCAGGTCAGACTTCACCAAGCTTTGCACTGCAGCGAACTGCAAAACTCAATGCATGACCCTGCCTGCATTCCCGGTCTGACGCATTTGCGTGCGTGTGAATGGAAGTCTATGGGGAGAAAAGTCCAGTGTGACCGCAGCTTCAGTAGATAATCTATAAACTTATCAGGTGTGTTGAAGCAAGTTGAAGCTAAACTCAGCAGGACACCGGCCCTCCAGGACCGAGTTTGGACACCCTTGATGTAAGGAGGTCAGTCTGTTTGTGTATTTGGATTCGTCTGACTGGTATATCATTGATTGCTAATGCGAGGCCAGCCGTGGTCAATCATAATTCAATTCATTTACAATGTAGATTGTGTCAAAGCAGCTTAACATAGATGTTCTACTAAATTGAAAGGTTGTTGGTTCATTTTAGTTCAGATCAGGGTGATGTCATTTTCACTGGATGCGCACCTCCACAAGTCCCAATCAAGCAAGCCAGTGGTGACAGTGGCGAGGAACAAACTTCACCAATTAACTAAAGTGAAGGAGAAAAAAAAAACCTTGAGAAAAACCAGGCTCAATTGGGCACGATTATTTCTCCTCGAGCCAAACTTCCTGTGCGGAGCTGAAGTATTGACCTTATTCTAAAATGCGGAAGTGCGCCTGTTTTCGCGATTGTCTTAGAACTTCCGTTTCAGTCGCCTATGGGAGAGATGACAAGGAATAATAAACGCCAAAAAAACGGCCAAACTACTTGCTCTACAAACAAATGTTTGCATGACTATACAGACCAAGTAGAATAATTTTAACAAGGAAATATCAGTTTGCAACATCAAACAGCGAAACGAGCAGTTTTTAATGTCTAAAAATGAATGGAAGTGAATGAGACCGGAAGTCTCGTGCCAAAAAGGTTCAAATGGCAGCGCCCGCTCGTCTGCGGAGAATAAGGTCAATATAGGTGCCAGAGGGCACGTATACAGGGCACAGTCCATCGTGGAGAAGCTACAGGTGTGAGTAGATCACCGGTCACAATGCAATGCACAATGCATCACAGGAACAATGCAAAGAGTTGTAAGCACGTGATCCTCTCAAAATTAGTTTATAAATAAACTTCAGCCCTATATAAATTGTTTGAAACCAGCATACTTTAAAAATTGTGCAAGTCCATTTATGAATTATAATGTTTTATTTGTACAATTTTAACAAGCATATCTTGATCAAAAAACAACATTTCACCCATATTTTGACATTTGACACTTGCATTAAACTTTTTAATTTTTTCACTTGTTCAGTATTTGCATATTCGTCTGATTCATTGTATGCCGATTTAAACAAGATATCTGAGTCAGTGAGACTTAACTGTACTGTGAAGTGAAAACACTATATACTATTAAAATTTTTAAATGACATAATTGAATTAAAAATGACAAACAATTGAGAAATATAAAACTGTTAAGGCTGGTGGTTGTATCTATAAATATAGCATATTTCAATTTCATTGGCATATACATGATTTCCCTTATCATATGCAGTGTTTTATGAGAGTGAGTGAGACTAAATATATAGCTCCTGCACTGTAAAAAGTATATGATCAATTAGTCATGACAGCATGTTTTATTTCATTGTAACTTATTAAACTAAGTTTGTCATGTTCTAACTTAAATGTACGTTACGCAAGCTATTTTAGGTCAGTTTAACATAATGTAAGTTTAATTGACTCAGAAGGTTAATTTGATTCAGTTTAAGGCAACCAGGACTTTTTTTTTAGTGTGGGCACTTTGCTTAATACAACTCTGATTGGTAGATTTTCAACACAACACTATTGAAAATGTTTATGCCTGCACAATATTGAAAATTCGAACTTAAAAATAAGCTATCTTAAGGGTTTGATAAAACCCCATATTGTACAACTGATTGTCACCCTCGGGTCCGTGTTTAAAGGTTTATCAGTTGTTAAAAAATCTAATTTCCCTATAAAAAATGCAGTTTTTGCTTCCTGGAACTGTTGTACTGTGTGTATAAATATAACAGGTTTAAAAATTGTTACATCATCCTAACACATAAATTCAGATGACTTGTAATAGTGCATGAGTCATGTGGACCAGCACTTTGGTTCTTTTGTGCCCTTTTTTAAGCTTGAACGCTCCAGCATTGAAGTTCGCAGGGGAGGAAAAAACAAACTCATGTGTGTTTGAAAAAAACATTCTCCTTTTGACAATATTGTTCACTCAACCATTAAAGAGCTGCACTTAATTAGACTATCACTGTGCTTAGTAATTAGACAAACT